CGTGGAAAAAAGAGGATAACTTTTGGGAGGAGGTTTTCTATTTCCACCTTGTTGGAGGCAGTCTCCCAGTTCTGTTGCTTTGCACCTTCTTTAGGTTTACCTCACTTGCAAACTTCTAGATGATTCTCCTGTCTTGCCATGGGTATTGTGGGGATTACAACCTGGGATTCCTGCTTCCTCATCTGGCTTTTTATGTGGCTTCCAGTAATTGCACTCAGGTTGTCAGGCCTGTGTGGCAAACATTTCGTCCATTGAGCTATCTCATTGACTCCAGCTCTTAATTCTTAAGATTAGAGCAGTGTGTCCCTGAGAAGTAATCCAGCAGATGAATCCATGATGATTCTTTTTAATACTTTTGGATTTGTTCAATATCTGTAGGAAGACACAATAAATTTTAAATGTCCCCAAGGACTATTGTACATGGTTTAGTTTCCAAAAATATTCTTTAAATTTGAACTTCCTTATATTTCTAACAAATTGATTATTCCTTGCTTTAATTATCATTACTTCCCAGATCTAAAATTCCACTTACCTTGTGAAATCTATCTACCAAAAGCACAACTTAAATTTAGTTCCCTTTATTAGAAAAAATACTAATATTCAATTAAATCAGAGCACAGTAGGGCTAAGAGGTAAGGGAGATGTCTCCTTATTATCTTAGATTGTGAATACACTGTTTATGTACAGTAGAATTTTTATACTGGAAGGTAGGCTACAGAGGGGAGGAAAATGGCATATACAAGGAATTAATACCATAAGAAGACTAGTTGAAGAAACTGGTTGTAGCTTGACTAGATTGAGAATATGTAATATGTTTTCCCTGCAAAATCAAGAGTAGACTAATGGGTAAGAGTTTAAGTATGCTGATTTGGGTAAGATATTAAAAATGATATAAATTGTCAAAAGTATCACAAACTAAGTTACATAGCTTATAAGGAATACTATGTTCTGGATCAAATATGTGTATACTCTAGATTACCTAGGTACCCCTTTGGTACTCCAAACCCAGGACAAAGCAGTCTGTTAAAAGCCCTGGAAACATTTGTTGATAGAAGCCAGAAGGTGTGTGAAATGGATATTCCCTCCAGGCAACTCTTCTAAGATACTTTTGTTTCATCTGGAGGCAAAGATCAACTATATATTTATAAAACCCAAGATGAAAATGGTGATGTAGACTGGAACTGAAAAAAATTATTATTATTATTTTTGAAAATAGTAACATCAAACCATTAAACAAATTCAGTGGTCTTTTAAGCATGGGCCCCCCAAGTGCTGGTATAGGTCTCATGTTCATGAGCTGTAGTTGTTGTAAAACTATGGCCAGCTCTGTAATTTAACCCTCTTCTGTTTGCTTTCTTCCTTTTATTCTCCATGCTTGTTTCTCTGGAATTATCACTCTCACCTCCAAACTCAATAAAACACTAATAAGTAAACTGTATCATAAGCTCTGTTTTACAGGGACCTAGACTATATAAATGACTTTTTGTGATTTCCCTTTTATACACTTGGTCAAAATCAAAATGATTTTCCTCAATGCAAAGAAAAATATGTAATTCTACAAATCCTTGCATTTTCATGTAAAGTAGAATTACCAGGTCATTATGTCTCAAGCATTTTATGCTTTTGTTCAGTTACAATATTAATAATTCATTACAAATGTAGTACAGAGAAACTAATAAAGGGTTCCATTACTTTTCTTCCTTTTCCTTTTTTCTTTCCCATTGTCTAAGTATGTCCTGCAGATCTCCATCTTATGTGTATTTATAGGCAGGTTTCAATTTTACACATTTTTTATAGTTGCATAATAGTTGATTTGTGAACTGCCAATCATCATCATATGTAACCTCTGCTACAATCTTAGTTATAGAAATTGTCATAAATATGAAGCAGTATTTCTTTAAATATACATATTAATTCAATAATCATTCATCGGGTGTTATATATAAAGTACAAGGGATAAGTACTAAATGAAAAGCAAAGACAAGAATTTGTCTTATCATTCCGATCATCATCCTACATGGGGGCACAATGAGGTAAGGCTTTAAGCTCATCCATTATAAAGGTATTCATGATCAACACCTACATACACATGCATAGCTAAGGTAATTAATACATTTGTTAAGATATGGGAAACTTCATAAATATAGATCCATGTAGAAGTGTCATTTAGACAATTTCATGCTAATAGAATGGAGGAACAACAACAACACATCAAGACCTTATATGAAACATCACTCCTCTCAAATAAAAGTCTTTAAGAGAAAAGAGAGGGACAGGGACCTTTCTAGATACTATGACTTGTTTTGGGGAAGAAGAGTTCTACTTTCTATGAGCTAGCTACATTGGAAAGGGGAAAATTAGATTCAGTAATTCTCATTATGGAGATGTCAGGATAGGAGATGAAAAAGTGGTTGTTTCCGAAGCCTTTCAATCTCCTGAGGTCAAAGTACTCAACATGCCAACAATATTAGCTCTGATCCACAGCCACAGCTCAAGATTTAATAAAATTATAAGACAAATTAAGGAACTATATTAAGGAAATATAGGTGACTGTGGTGATATTGTGTTCCCCAATATATTGTGAACACTAATGAACATATCTGGGGTCAGAGAACACAACAGCCCCTAGATACAGAGGCCAGAAAATGATGGCACACACATCTTTAATCGGAGCATTCCGAAGGCAGATATTCGTCTGGATCTCTGTGAGTTCAAAGCCACATTGGAAACAGCCAGGCATGCTGACACACACCTTTAATCCCAGCAAGTGATGGCAGAAAGCAGAAAGGTATATAAGGCGTGAAAACCAGGAACTAGGGGCTGGTTATGCTTGAGGCTTTGGGCAGCACATTCAGCTGAGATCCATTTGGATGAGATCACAGAGGCTTCCAGCTTAAGGAAACAGGATCAGCTGAGGAATTGGCGAGGTGAGGTGGCTGTCTCTTGTTCTGCTTCTCTGATCTTCCAATACCTAGTCCCAGGTTTGTTTTTATTAATAAGAACCAATATGGACAAATTTATATAGAACCGAGGATCTAACATGTAAAATTGGTAAGATCCTTCTGGAAATACTGGTTTATTCACAATTCAGTAAAAAAAATATAGCTTAACAAAATATTGCAAATTTATTCAGAGTTTGTATGACATGGGAGCTTTCTTAAGAAAATTAATAGCCCAAGCCTCAGCATTGTCTTTTAGTTGATTTGGTGAAGAATGGAGAATTGTAAAGATAGGTGAGAGGAAGAAGAAAATGTCTGTGCTCAATGTAGTACATTGGGAGTGGAGGCCTATTTTTGCTCCCTCTCTTACTCTTCATAATCAGGATGGTCCTTTGCTCTGCTTCCAAGGAGGGTACCTGTCACTACTATAGTTTAGACTACTATGTCTTCACACACACACACACACACACACACACACACACACACACACACACACACACACACCTGCCATGTTCTTGTAACCCGAGTGACCAAATATCTAGTCATTTTCACATCTTTTGTCTTTCCAGTAAATAGCTTAGGATTGAAAAATAGAAGCCTTTTGAATAGTTGGGAAGACTACAGAAAAAGAACATAAATGATAAATATTCAGTTTTAAAATCAGAGTGATTTGCTTCACAGTAAACTAATCCTTTATAAGCAGTGATTACTATAGCATTAGCAAAGTTTGGGCAATGCAGAACAGTTCTTCAACGTCTCTCTTAGAGAATACTTTCCAACTTGTCAGATCTAAACAAATAGAACTATATTGGACAGAACCATTTATACTGACAGATTAATAGAAAAAATAATCTTCAGGGTTAGTATTTGATTTTCAGTCTCTTGAACTTCCATGTAAATTACGTTGATTTCTCCTTGTTGAAATATAAAGGTAAGCTTGTCAGGGTGATGAATTTGGATCAGAATAATCTGACTGAAATTTGCCAGAGGGTTGATTTAGTCCATCTCTTAAATTTTTCATTGTAATGCTGATATGTCTCTGAAACAGACAAAATTTACTAGAATAAAAACTGTGGTTTTCTATTTGTGTTTCATAATCTTTAATGAAAACAGTGTTTCAAAGCATGGATTTAAAAACCGGAGTCACAGGCTATGTATCAAGTTGAAACCCTTCCCTTGTCTCCTCAACTAGAACCTCATCAGATTTTGTTGAGATTGATAGATGTTTCTTTGTACACAATTCAAAATATAGTAATGTAGTAGAAAATAGTTATAAGATTTTTTTATTTCTTCTTTTTTTTAATGTACTCCTGAAATGACAGCACCATGAGAAATCCAGTAAGTGTACATGTATTTAGGAGCAGTTTGGATACAACACTTAAAATTATTAGTTGTCAATGAGAGAAAAGGAAAAGAGCAGAGAATATCAGGGGTAATTAAAGCCAATAATAATAGTGTTTGAGGGCACGTTGAATCTTTGTGGGTGTGTATGTGTGTGTAGGTGTTCACTAGGGTTTGCTCTTCACTCGCCTTCTGTATCAAGAGTTATTTTACTTGTCTCTATTGAGTATTAAATCTTAAAGATGGGAATTTTTACCACAGGTGTTGGTTTATTAAACTCAAAGTTTTCCAAAAAAATCAAACATTTCATCCTTTTTTATAATTTAACTTTAAATCATTTATATAACCAAGGACACACATTGATAAGATAAGATCTCTTTGAACCTTAGTTTTTCTCTTTAGTCTTCAATTTAGATTTTAAAGAATAAAATATTAGGTGTTCCATCAATAAATTTAAATAGAAATGGGTTCATCTGAACTAATGGCTGAGTAAAATGGTGACATTCCCGTATTAAATATGATGATTTGGTATATTACATTACACATTTTCATTTATTTCATAGAGAGTAGAATTTTTATGAGCTGTAATTCAGAAAAATGTGAAATGACTTCACGGAACAATTCTCCACATTTTAAAAAATCCTTTAGCATATACTGTTTTTAGTTGTTTTGTGGAATACCTAGTAAAAGATTCTAAACACTTTGCACATTGTTCTTTAGTTTCAGCTCAAATTCTCAAGAGCAACCTTGCAGCAATGGAACAAAACATTCTTCATTTGGAGCGTGACATCAAGAACTTCCCCAAAGCGGAAAGTCACCATGATAAGTTTTTGGAAAAGATGACGATATCCTTTATTTATTTAAGCATTTGTTTATATGTTTGTCTGTGTAGCTGTTTATTCACCTATTTACTGTGTGGTTATTACTAGACTCACTAGTCTACAACACTAGATGAATTTGGTGTAACCTGTTTTTTATATTAGCACCATAAATTTCATTTCACAATGTTTTGAACCTGGTAGTGTAAGCAAGGGTACAATTAGATCAGAAAAATATTGCCATTTCTCAAAGATAAATTTTATTTGAAAGCCCACAAGATATGCAAGGTAAGTTTTAGGAAGTGTGATTATACCTGAAAGAACAAAGCAAATAATTCTCTTTTGTAACCAAATTCTTAAGGATAGAATCAGACTGAGAAAATGATTTTGGAGGGAGGGGTTATAATTTTCTTTCTTCTTTAGGTATATTCACATACATGTTTTAAGGGTATATATGTATTTTGAGAAGCAATGAGGAAAAGAGTAATATCAGTAGACTGAAAGATAAATGAATAGATATATGGATGGAATGAGAAACAAATTGATCAGTAGCTGATGTATTTAAATCAACTGTAATATATGTATAAAGAAAAAGTAAATATTTCTTGCTACATAAACATTCAGGAAACTCATATTTACATACAATATACTGATAATTATATACATATATGTACATATATGCACATACATATGTATTTATGTATGTATTTGAAAGGAGAATGTGAGAAACTATATTTAGTTTGAATTGTTTAATGTTCAAGCTGTTGTCTGAAGATAAACTACATTCAGAGCTGATTTTTTTTTCTATTCTGGATTTTCAGAAGTAAAAGCCATATCCTCCTCCTCTGGGTTTAAATAAGTATCTTGAACTGCAGATTGATTCACTAGTTTATATCTCTAGAGGGAATAAATACTGCAATTTCTTTATCAGATAATAAGTAAATTCCTTCAACAACTATATGAAAGTCACCTTCTTTCAAGGTTAAGCCTTTTTCTATTCTCCTGTGTTTCTTTCCTATGCAACTTAGACGTGAAGGCACTGAACCTAAGAATTACTTAGGACTGGCACTTGGCATATATAAAAAAATTACTTTCCACACTTAGTTTTTCACCTCATCAAATAATGCTGTATGGTCCTTTAGTGATGCTACATTTGTGAATAGGAATGTTGGATGAACAAGTTTGTGAGCCATTACAAGCAGGCACTCCTCATCTAGCCTTGAGTTATATAACCAACCACACTGAGATACTTATTATAAAACTTTTATTTTTTTCACCTTTCATTTCGACTCTTGTCTCATATTTTTTAAAGTTAATTTGTGATCCCCTTGTTCTGTGGAGTATTTTCTTTTACAGTTGGCTTATGGCCACAAAACAGCTTGCAATATTGAGTCTTTGTTGCTCATTTTGGAAAAAAAAAGAGAAGAAAAACTAATTTCAAACCCCCACTAACTTGGCTTGTTCCTCCTATTTTATTTCTGTTTTTATGCATGTAATTAATCATTTTAAAATGGAAATGAGGGACTTCTATATCTGTATGTTACAGAAGAACAGCTATTCTTTAAGTGGTACTAAAGGGTGACTGTTTGTCTACAAGGGGATTGGAAATGTATTAAAATGTATAGGACTGTTACTTTGCAGTTCATATCACAAAAAATTTGGCAATTTTTTACCTACTGGCATTTTCATACTCTCTCTATACTGTTCCTTTAGCAGAGATTATATCCTATTTGTTAACCTCTATGTACCTAACACATATCTCCTACCTAGCATAATGTAGACACTCAGCAAATGTTTGTCAAGTCATTGGAAATTAAGGAATCCAAGCCCCTTCTTTGACTTTTCCCATCTAGAAGAATATTGTTAAGAAGTAGTAAGCTTTCCTTATAATTATTTCTAAAAAAAAAATCTCCATATAAATCTTATCAAGTATTTAAGTAACATTGAATCACTGTTTTAGATCTTGCATTTAAAAAACTATGGTCAATTTTATAAATTATGATTCATTCATTCAAAAGTAATTGTTTTGTTTAAAGCTAGCAAAAATAGATAGTCCTCAAGGTACCAGTGTGGTAATGCAAGCTTGAAATCCCAGTGGTTTTAGGGCTGTAGAAGGAGGATTATCTTATATTCCAGTCCAACCTGAGCTACATCTTAAGACACTGTCTCAAAAAATTAAAAGGAAATGTTCTCCTGTGAATAGAATTACTCTACTTCTAGCTTCTTGAACCCAACAGCTTTATAAAAAATGTGTCACTTTTGTTTCTTCTTTTCTCTCTAAATTGTTTCTTATTTCTCTTTCAGAATAAAATAGTGTAGGGAAGAAAAAAATCTCTTTCCTCACCCATTGCACGATGCACAGCTTAACACACCTATAAAAAGACAGATTAAAAGAGGAGCTATAAAGTTAATAAATGTGTTAACTGCTATAGGAGGAAGCCTTGGGGGGGGGGGAGTGTGGAGGAGGACCTTTTTATAGACAGTTACATAGAAGTCCAAATTGAAGACAAAAGGATGTGATCCGAGTGTAATAAATTGGGGGGGGGGATGATTTAGCAAGATGTTTGTTCAGATAATTCTGGGCTTCTTTATATGACATTCCTTACCTCTGATTAGAGGGAAGGACACATGTCCCATGTCAGAGGACTAGGGAAGACAAGGAGAATGATCTTTGTAGCACTTTATGGCCTATTCCTGAGATGAAGAGTTAGGCAATTATAGTTTTTGTGATCTACTTGAGAAGGTTCTGCCTTCTGGGTTTACCTTAGTCTCTTTCAGTTTATAACACTCATTATTCCTCCTGCTATGGCCTGAATATCTGTGTTCCATCTATAGTTCCTGTTGACATATGATCTGCTGTATAACAGTATAAAGCAGTGGTGCCTTTAAAAGTGATTAGATGTTAGGATAAGAACACTTTTTTGATATGTGAAATCTATTCCTCATAAAAACACTAGAGGAAAAAAGAGCTTAGAATCCCCAATCACACACACACACACACACACACACACACACACACACACACACACACACACCACACGGGTGTGGGGGAGGCCATTTTGCTTTTGGGGCCTTTGCCATAGGAGGACACAACAGTGAGGCTCAAACCATTACCACCAGAAATGAATTTGCTGATGCTTTCATCCTGGATTCTTAGCCTCCAGAACCAGGATAAATTTCTATTACTTATAAATTACTCAATCTCAGATATTTTCACATAGAGCACATAATAACCTAAAGGTACCATATTTGGAGGAGGTATTTTCTACATCCTACAAATGAGAGGAACAAAACAAATGAAATTAATTTTATAGGATTATAAAACAAAGAGCTAGGCATGGTATCTGTATCTGTAATCCTAGCACTTGGAAGGTAGAGGAAGGTGGATCACCAGATCAAGGCCAGCCTAAGCTGTATTAGTCTCCAAAAGAGGAAAATAAATAGATTCAGCATACACATTTTTATAACCATAAAATTAAAAGATCATCTGTCAGAGAAATATTTATCTTTCATTGCTAACATGCTCATCACAACCCTAGTCTTGGAAGGTTTTTGTTGTTGTTGTTGTTGTTGTTGTTGTTTGTTTTCTTGAGATACTGGGGATCTAGCTCTAAGCTGTGTGCATGTTAATCAAGTCCTATACTACCAAGCTGTACATCTAGTCCTTAGACTGTGAATTGAAATTAATAGGTTGCTAGGATTTTATTTAGGCTTTTCTTCCTCTTTTTTTTAAATCATTAAATAGTCCGGTTTTGTTTTGTTTTGCTTTTCTTTGGTTGGTTTGTTAGCTTTGGTGTTTTGGGTTTTTTTTTTATCTGTTTTATTGAAAAACAATGTTTTCATCCAACATATTCTGATCTGGCTTTTCCCTTCCCCCAACTCTTCCCAGATGCTCTCTACCTCCCTACACACCCAACTTCTTACCCTTTCTTTCTCTTTCTTTAAAAAGCAAACAATAAACACAAACAGGCACACACACAAAACACCCCACACAAACACAAAATTGGAAACAAAGAAAAAATTGGAAAAAAAATTATACAAGCAAAAGGCCAATAAGACAAAAATACTGTAACAAAGCAACTTGAGACAGAAGGTCTATAAAATTACCCTTGAGTTTGTTTTGTGTTGGCCATATAATTCTGGGTATTGGACCTATCTTGAAGTGGGGTTAATATACACAGTGAAATGCCATTGGAGAAGACAAATTTTCCCCTGCAAGCAGGTACCATTTGAAGATATCTTCTTGTTTAGGGATGGAAACCCATAAATAATTAGTGTTGATGATTAACTCTCATTGATTGTTTACTATTTGTCAAGTGACCTAATTTTATATATTTGATACCTTTAAAGCTCCTGTTTATTAAGTGAGGAATAGCTTCTGTATCTACTGATAAAATTAACTGTCCCTATGTGTGTGTGGTAATCTACAGTTTTGTCAAGATAGCTTCAGTAAATCATGAAGTTACTTTCTATAGTCCAACGTTCTTAATCCATTTCAAAGGTCATCTCTCTTCATCTTTTAAAGTTACCAGGAGTTCTGTGTCTGTATTTGAAGTTTATTGAGGATATTGGTGAGCTGAGATTCAGAATCATATCTGGCTAATTGTCCTTTGAAAAATAACCCATGCTTGAGAGACATGAGATAGTGCTCTGAGAATGAACTCATTGCCAATCTTAGACCTTCTCTTCGAAGCCAATGTCATTGATACTGTGTGCAAAATTGCAACCTTGGCCAACACTGTGATTGTGAAAGAGTCAGGTTATTTGTTTAGAAAACAAAACCTAATAATATTTGCTTGCCTGTGATATGATTGATGGTTGCTGTCACCTGTAACCAAAGACAGTTTAACAAATCAAGAACATGAACAATTTGGTTAACTGCTTTATGTGTCAAAGGAACCTTCCAGACATGAAGGCTCCAGAGGAAATGTCCATTTGCATACTGTCTGGTGAAAGAAGTATCTAGTTCTACAGAAAAAAAATGATTAGATAAAAGTGGTAGAAAGTATTGTTAATAATGTGGAGGG